GGAAGCAGTTGTTGGTGCCCCTGAGCATGCAGTCAGCAACAGTTATTGGTCGCAATGTGCTGTTTTTTTTTCACTTGTGGCACATTGAACTGACAACTGACAACACTAGAAGAAAAACAGCCAGGTGGCAATCCAAGACGCAAACCTGACCACAGGCCCTGTGCAAGTGCACATTGGTTTCCCCTGGACTGTTAAGGCTCTTACGAAGAGGACAGTGATCAGTTGTTGTCCATGTCCACTGAAGGTAGGATACATAGTACAGTAAAAGCTGTGTTATCTGGCCCTGTACCAGCCGGAAAGCTTTATAAATCAGCATTTCTAATCTTCATAGAAAGTCGGGTTTATAGTTCGGTTGGCGCAGGACCAGCAGGCTCCCTCCCGGGCTCCGCATGGCTCCCTGGAAGCAGTTATTTGTCCCTGCTGCTCCTAGGTGGAGGTGCGGCTTGGTGGCTCTGCGTGCTGTCCTTGCCCCGAGTGCTGGCTCCATAGCTCCCATTGGCTGGGAACTGAATTAGGCCAGGTGGGCCCAAACAGTCAATTAAGCTGAAAATAGGGAGGATGTAGGCTGAGTGGATGGAGCTAATTAGAAGGAAGCTCACCTGTGAACAGGCAGGGCTTCAATAAAGCCTGGAGGCTGGCATCAGTGTGGGAGGTTGCAGGGAGGAAGCCTGCAGTGCCTCTCCCTGAGGTAAGGGAGGAGGAAGGGGGCACAGGAACCCCTGAGGAAGGGTTTACCTAGTAGGACAGAGATTGCTTGGGGCAGTAAATGGGAAGACTGCCTGGGTCACAACAGGAGTCACATGGTCAGGGCAGTGGGTATGAGGACTTCCTGACTCTGTTTGTGTGGAGAGACTAGGAAAGATCACCCTATCCCAAAAGAGGAAATCACATCATGACCTGGCCAGAGGGCTGAGTCACAAAGCAGCCGTACTGCAACTCTGTGAGCAGGAGGAGAACTGCAAAGGTGGAAGACCAGAAAGGGGGTACTAAACCAGGTGGAGCTAATCCCCAGAATTGCCAGAAGGGGGTGCCACCCAGCAGTGAGTAGAGTACACTGTGACAGATATAAATAACAGGGAGGGCGAAGAGCTATATAAGGTAAAGGACAATGCTGACACAAAAACATATAGATATAAACTGTCCGTGAACAAACTCAGGCTGGAAATTAGAAGATTTCTAACCATCAGAGAGGTGAGGTTCTGGAATAGCCTCCCAATAGGAGTCATGGAACAAACAGCTTAATTAGTTTTAAGAGAGCTGGACAAATTTGAGAGTGATTGAACGATAGGGTTGCTTGTGATGGTAGGGGGAGGGCTCAACAGCCCTGGGGCTCACTTCTGGTTTATGTCATATGTTCCAAAAAGCTCATGCATCAGGGTTTCAGCCAGTCACTTGCTGGGGACAGGAAAGGATTTTTTTTCTTTCCGTGGTATTTTAGGGGTTTGTTCTGATTTGTTTATCTCCTTCTTCTGAAGCATAAGGGATGGTCACAACTGGCAATGGGACACTGTGGGGAGTAGGCCAGGGTGCTAAGGTGGTACTGAGCATTCTCTCTCTGAGGTGCTTTGGCTGGCTGGTGTTAACTCATGAGCTAACTGATTGCCATATGTGGGGCCAGGAAGGAATTTTCCCCCCAGGTGAGATTGGCAGTGATGGTGGGAGTTTTTCACCTTCCTCTACAGTGTGGGGTGTGGTTCAGTTGGCAGGATTATCTGGGTGTATCTCACTCATTCATTTCCCTGCCATTGCAGGAGCCTTAAACACTGGTGCAGCTTGGTCCCTCCTATTCTCTATCTGTGGCACATAATAGTCTAGTCTCCTTCGGACTGTGATACTTCGGTCTCATTTCAGTTTTTTGGTTTAGTGTGGAGGCACTGGGTGGCGGTGTTGGTGGCCTGCAAGATATAGGAGGTCAGACAAGATGATCTAATGTCCCATCTGACCTTAAACTCTGTGACTCTAATGATTTCAAAAAAGCAGACTAAAACAAACTTAGAGAATTCGGAGATAAAATACTGTGGGAAGAAAATGTATGGAAAAAGGAGTTCAGGAGAGCTGACAGTTTCTTAAAGAGACATTATTAAAGGCACAAAAGCAAAGGATATCCCAATGCAAAGGATAGCGAGTAAAAAGCCAATATGGCTCCACCAGGAGATCTTTAGTGACCTAAAAATAATAATAATAAAAAAAAAACATATCCTATAAAAAAGTGGAAACGTGGACAAATTGCTAAAGGAGTATTACAAACCACCATAAGCATGTAGGGACAAAATCAGAAAGGTGTAGACACAAAATGAGCTACACCTAGCAAGGACCATAAAAGTCAATATGATGATGTTTGATAAATACATTAGGAGCAGGAGAAAGATGAAACAAAGTGTTGGTCCACTACTTGATGAAGAAGGAAATCTAATAACTGATGACAACAAGGAAGTTGAGGTACCTTCTGCCCATTTTGCTTCAATCTTCACTAAAAAGGTTAGTTATGGTGAGATACTTACCACAATTAATATTAATAATAAGAGGGAAGGAACACAAGCCAGAAAAGGGAATGAAAAAGTTAAAGAATATTTAGATAAGTTAGATGTATTCAAATTGGCAGGGCCTGTCAAAATTCACCCAAGGGTACTCAAGGGACTAACTGAAGCACTCTCAGAATCATTAGTTATTATCTTTGAGAACTCATGAAAGAGGGGTATGGTCCCAGAGGACTGCAGAAGGACAGATATAGTACCTATCTTTGAAAAAGGGAACAAAGTGGACCTGGGGAACTATAGACCAGTCAGCCTAATTTCAATACCTGGAAAAATACTGAAGCGAATTATTAAACAATCAATATGTAAGCACCTAAAGGATTATAAAGTAATAAGGAATAGCCAAACCAACCTAAATTCTCAAACCAACCCAGTTTCCTTCTTTGAGAGGGTTACTGGCCTAGTGGATGGAGAGAAGTGATAAATGTGATATATCTTGATTTTAGTAATTTTTAGCCCCAGGTCAGTTGAGACTCTGAAACTTATTGCTGCAAGTTTTTTTTGTTTGTTTGTTTTTTTCCCTTGAAGAGAGTCCAGATGAAAGAAAGAAATATGATTAAAGGTTTAGAAAACCTGACCCATGAGGAAAGGTTAAAAAAACTGAGCATGCTTATCACTGAGAACAGAAACTTGAGGGAGGAACCTGATAAACTTAAAATATGTTAAGGGCTGTTATAAAGAGAATGGTAATCAATTGTTCTCCAGACCCACTGGAGATGCAACAAGAAGTAATTGGCTTAATCTGCAGCTAGTGAGATATAGGTTAAATATTAGGAAACATTCTAACTATAAGGATAGTTAAGCACTGCAATAGGCTTCCAAAGGAGGTTTTGGAATCCCCGTCAGAGGTTTTTAAGAACAGATTACACACATACAGGTCAGGGATGGTCTTGGTATACTTGGTCCTGCCTCAGTATAAAGGCCTGGATTTCTGAAGTCCCTTCCAGATCTACATTTCTATGATTCTATGAATTGGGAGTCCCAGAAGTTAGATTTAGAAAAAGCCCTCTGATGGGAAGCTCCCTATACTAGATAGCTTTGTTCAGTCCAGCTTTAGATGGCAGAACTAATTTAGTAATCAGAACTAATCAGACTTCCACCCCTTCCTCCAGGAGATGATTTTAGAGCTACTCAGTGAACATTTCTTCTTCTTCTGACACTACCCCCCATGTGGTGATTCCACAGAGACACTACAAATTCCATCAGTCAGCTGGATATTTAGATGAAGAGTTGAATTCCACTCGGGCTACATAATTCTCTCCTTTTGTCCAACAGTGAAAAGTGATGAATATTTTTTTATCAATAGTAACAGGGAAAGGGGTGAGGGTTTAGGAGGAAAGATGAGAAGTTTAGTTTCCATCGTATTTACTGTGAAGAAGTAGTGGAGCTATTCGGGAGACAGTAAGAGATGTGAGTCTGGAGAGAGGACAGTGGTGGAAAGGCAGACTTGAAAGTTAATAGCATAGAGATGGTGTTGAGATCATTAATGGCTCAGGAATGGGAGGACATGAATATTAGTCAGTTTATTGGGTTCAGAGTAGGAGATCCAGAAGGAGCAGATCCACTGGTTGGGGGAGGGCCAACCTCCCCGACCCCTCCTCCCCCCGCCCATCTGTTCTATAGGTTGGTAAGCACTGTCCCTCAAGAGAATGATGCCAGGGAAACTTTCTACAGGGACCCCCATAATGTTTCTTATTTTCAGTGAAGATAATGCTAGTAGAAGGGACAATCTAGCCCACAGTATTTTCTTTATTATTTCTTTCAGTTTGAGGATTAGCTGTATTTCTAACTATCATGGAAGGGGCACTTGCACCAGTGGAAGGGACACTAGACTGGGAATCAGGAGACTTGTGTTCTAGTCTTAGTTTTGCCACAGACCTGCTGTGTGACCTCATGCAAGTCACTTCACCTCCGTGCCTCAGTTTCCTTATATATAAAACGGGGATGATGCTTACTTTCCTCTTAAAATACCTTGACACCAATCGATGAAAACCATGGTAGAAGAGCTAAATTGTAAAATGATGATTACATTTTCTGCCTTTTGATTAAGTGATTTTTATGCCATGATAATTCTATTTTATTCAGGAAGAGTGGCCAACCATCCATGATGCAAACTGACTGTGACTGAAATTCTAAGTGGACAGAAGTAGAGTGATACAGTCATTGATAACCATGGTTTTGAATAGCTCTGAAACAATGCTGTGGAAGAATTCTAACTCTTCTGAAGGACATTACTTATAGCGTGTCATGGTGTAAAGTGAAATTCAGTCATATAGGGCTTGTTTAAAAGCAGAGCAAATTTTTATCAGTTTTCTTAACACTGACAGATCACAGAATATGTTAAGATCAATAGGGCTTATACTGTGAATAAAAGCAATATTTAATTGGTTCTGGCATAAGAAGTCAACATCTACTTGAGAAAAAGCTATGTTACACAATCATTTGTTGTGTTGTATCTCTGTACAGATGTAGGGAGATGTGGATCCTTTTTTCAGATGGGAAATTCCAAGAAGAAACATTAGCCCCTGTCAGAAGATAAGAGTAGATCGTTAAATAGGTAGGCATATAACAAATGTTTTGAAGAATATACCTAATGTACTAGTCTTCATCTAGGTCCATTTTCTGATGTTGTTGCTCAGTCTTACTGAGGAAAACTGAGTAAGGGCCATTGAATCTGACTCCTAATAAACAAGGAGCCAGATTTTGCACCACACTTATATTGAATTGTACCTTACTACCTGACTTGTCCTATTTATGGGATTACTCAAAGAGTAAATTCCTACCGAAGGGGAGTAGGAATGGCAGAATGTTGCCCTAAGGGAATGCTACAGCATGTGTATCAGTGAGTCATTGTATTTTGTCACCCTAAGACATTTCAGACCATACAGACTTCCATCCATTTGCTGTGGCAAGAAAATAATATGAATCCCTTTTCCTTAACCTTACCTGCAGGCTGATAAATCACTCCTGGATCCCCTTCCTCAGCTGAGGGTAGAGGATGCTTTGACCTTAAGGATGTGTAGATGCAAACTCCCAGTTCAACAGCCAGCCATTAATAGCTACATTCAAACAAGGCGTTGCACATTAGAGGGGTGAATCGTTACCACCTACTTACTGTGGGAGGGAGCCCTGTCGGAATCCCATCAGGGAAAACTCTCCCAGTCACTGGCTGCTGGAAACACAGGTGCTCTGTTCCCAGCTCTGCAAGGCCCACTCTTTCCCTCTGTAAGCTAGCAAATTACAACCCTCACTTTCTTACACTTGAGTGCCCAGTCCCCTACCTTCTGGGCACTTGCAATATACACCAATTTGCTGCTCCATGGCAGTAGTCTACCCCAGTTCACGGGATTCACCTCTGTTCACCACCCTTCTTTGGACAAGGTACTTGGGTTTGTAGTAGAACCAAATTAGCCAAATTGAAGTTTATTTAACAGAATTTGAGAAATATTCAAATAAAAGGAAGTATAAGATTTGGAAACATAAGGTTACAGTTTAAAAAACAGCCTAAAAGAGCATTTATAGCCTCTACAAGTTACTTTCCTGTCTAATAAGGTATTTCTCATCCACAAGTTAGTTCTTTCAGCACTTGACCAGTTCAGAGAGCTGGCACCCACTCTTCATGAGACCCGCAGCTGATAGTCTCCTTTTGTAATAGATCACCACTTAGGCCATTTCTTTTGCTTTTATATACTCACAAGCTATCATCTCTTCATCCAGAGGCCCCGCCTTCCACAAATTCTCCTGGTTTGTAAATCTCCAGCCTACCTGTAGTTCAGACTGTAAATGTAGACTGACTTTATGGGTGTTCATTGTTCTTATGTTGATTTGTGATAAGTTTCACTCCCAACAGGTTTGGAATATAATATTCTACATGTCATATAGATCTAAAATTGTTTCCCATATAGACATCTCACAATAACTATGACAATCAGCTAGTTCTTAGCTTTTGGCAGAGACCACACATATTTCATTCTTCAGTGAAATATTGAGAAGATTGTCAAACACAAGGATGACATACCTGCTTGGGCCTGTGTATTACAATACCCACAGACAATTTCATGTGCATATGAATATTAATAAAATGAAAATTAAGTTACATATGCTTATTTGCCACACTAAGGACCTTATTGCTACAAATTTAAAATATTGAAACTTTTAATTACACAACACTCAAGAAATTCAGAGTTAATGGCACTAGTCATAACTCTCTCCCTTTGTACATATGCATTACAGAACATTATTTAGCATGTGTGACATGCTATTTGATTAAAAATTCAATTAGAATAAAATGGCTTGTAGCCATATCATGTCCATATGATTTCATCATAGGCTAGGTTGGTGACTGCTTCTTTAAGAGACCCAAAGAATAATCCTGGTGCTGAAGGAAGCAAGACTGCTTAACCTAAGTGCTACTTTCTCCTCTGAGTCAGCATAGAGCTAATGATCCATGAAGTGTTAAGGGGCATTGTTTTATCTGAAGTACTGTGTATGAGATGAGATTGAAAGTCAACATTCTGACCATTTTTTGCCACTGTATTTTTTTTTTTGTTTTTTGCAAGAGTAAGGTGTCCTCACTAGAGATATGTAAAACCAGTGATGGTCTAAACCAAAGCTAAACCAAGAGTGATCTGTATCCAGGTTAAAAGAACAGTGCATAGAATGGAACATATAGTAAGAAGATATTTATACATATAGAGAACATGAGAAGGTGGAAGTACCCATGCCAACTGTAAGTGGCTAATTAATTAAGAGGAGCTATTATCAGCAGGGGAAAAAAACTTTTGAAGTGATAATCAAGATGGCCCATTTCGGACCAAGAAAAGGAGTACTTGTGGCACCTTAGAGACTAACCAATTTATTTGAGCATAAGCTTTCGTGAGCTACAGTTCAGTTCATCAGATTCTTTGGCGTAGGGACTGTCCGGTTTGGCCAGTGTACATGGCAGAGGGGCATTGCTGGCACATGATGGCATATATCACATTGGTAGATGTGCAGGTGAATGAGCCCCTGATGGCGTGGCTGATGTGATTAGGTCCTATGATGGTGTCACTTGAATAGATATGTGGACAGAGTTGGCATCAGGCTCTAGGTTCTAGGATACAGTCAGAATCAAGGATAGGTTGCAACGATAGGTTCCTGGGTTAGTGTTTTTGTTGTATGGTGTGTGGTTGCTGGTATTTGCTTCAGGTTGTGGGGGCTGTCTGTAAGCGAGGACTGGTCTGTCTCCCAAGATCTGTGAGAGTTACATTTACTCAGACCCTCCAATGCTTGCGGAGTTTGGGCCCAACTCTAGGTTAAATAGAGTTGGACAAAATAAGGATGTTTGACTTTGTAAAACTTTATTAGTCAAGCTTATGTTCTGCAAATGCAAATTCAAGAATGGTTTATCAGACTCAGGTCCCATTTTTCTGAAACAACGGTCGAGAGAAGAGTGATGTAGTGGTGGAGTCTGCTATAGACCACCGGACCAGAGGGATGAGGTGGATGAGGCTTTCTTCTGGCAGCTCGCAGAAGCTACTAGATCGCACGCCCTGGTTCTCATGGGTGACTTTAATTTTCCTGATATCTGCTGGGAGAGCAATACAGCGGTGCATAGAAAATCCAGGAAGTTTTTGGAAAGCGTAGGGGACAATTTCCTGGTGCAAGTACTAGAGGAGCCAACTGGGGGGGGGGGGGGAGCTTTTCTTGACCTGCTGCTCACAAACCGGGAAGAATTAGTGGGGAAGCAAAAGTGGATGGGAATCTGGGAGGCAGTGACCATGAGTTGGTTGAGTTCAGGATCCTGACACAGGGAAGAAAGGTAAGCAGCAGGATACGGACCTTGGACTTCAGGAAAGCAGACTTCAACTCCCTCAGGGAACAGATGGGTAGGATCCCCTGGGGGACTAACATGAGGGGAAAGGAGTCCAGGAGAGCTGGCTGTATTTCAAGGAATCCCTGTTGAGGTTACAGGGACAAACCATCCCGATGTGTCGAAAGAATAGTAAATATGGCAGGCGACCAGCTTGGCTTAACGGTGAAATCCTAGCGGATCCTAAACATAAAAAAGAAGCTTACAAGAAGTGGAAGGTTGGACATATGACCAGGGAAGAGTATAAAAATATTGCTCGGGCATGTAGGAATGATATCAGGAGGCCAAATCGCACCTGGAGCTGCAGCTAGCCAGAGATGTCAAGAGTAACAAGAAGGGTTTCTTCAGGTATGTTGGCAACAAGAAGAAAGACAAGGAAAGTGTGGGCCCCTTAATGAATGAGGGAGGCAACCTAGTGACAGAGGATGTGGAAAAAGCTAATGTACTCAATGCTTTTTTTGCCTCTGTCTTCACTAACAAGGTCAGCTCCCAGACTGCTGCGCTGGGCATCACAACATGGGGAATAGATGGCCAGCCCTCTATGGAGAAAGAGGTGGTTAGGGACTATTTAGAAAAGCTAGACGTGCACAAGTCCATGGGCCGGACGAGTTGTATCCGAGAGTGCTAAAGGAATTGGCAGCTGTGATTGCAGAGCCATTGGCCATTATCTTTGAAAACTCGTGGCGAACGGGGGAAGTCCCGGATGACTGGAAAAAGGCTAATGTAGTGCCAATCTTTAAAAAAGGGAAGAAGGAGGATCCTGGGAACTACAGGCCAGTCAGCCTCACCTCAGTCCCCGGAAAAATCATGGAGCAGGTCCTCAAAGAATCAATCCTGAAGCACTTACATCAGAGGAAAGTGATCAGGAACAGTCAGCATGGATTCACCAAGGGAAGGTCATGCCTGACTAATCTAATCGCCTTCTATGATGAGATTACTGGTTCTGTGGATGAAGGGAAAGCAGTGGATGTATTGTTTCTTGACTTCAGCAAAGCTTTTGACACAGTCTCCCACAGTATTCTTGTCAGCAAGTTAAAGAAGTATGGGCTGGATGAATGCACTATAAGGTGGGTAGAAAGTTGGCTAGATTGTCGGGCTCAACGGGTAGTGATCAATGGCTCCATGTCTAGTTGGCAGCCGGTGTCAAGTGGAGTGCCCCAGGGGTCGGTCCTGGGGCCGGTTTTGTTCAATATCTTCATAAATGATCTGGAGGATGGTGTGGATTGCACTCTCAGCAAATTTGCGGATGATACTAAACTGGGAGGAGTGGTAGATACGCTGGAGGGTAGGGATAGGATACAGAGGGACCTAGACAAATTGGAGGATTGGGCCAAAAGAAATCTGATGAGGTTCAATAAGGATAAGTGCAGGGTCCTGCACTTAGGACGGAAGAACCCAATGCACAGCTAAAGACTAGGGACCGAATGGCTAGGCAGCAGTTCTGCGGAAAAGGACCTAGGGGTGACAGTGGACGAGAAGCTGGATATGAGTCAGCAGTGTGCCCTTGTTGCCAAGAAGGCCAATGGCATTTTGGGATGTAGAAGTAGGGGCATAGCCAGCAGATCGAGGGACGTGATCGTCCCTCTCTATTCGACATTGGTGAGGCCTCATCTGGAGTACTGTGTCCAGTTTTGGGCCCCACACTACAAGAAGGATGTGGATAAATTGGAGAGAGTCCAGCGAAGGGCAACAAAAATGATTAGGGGTCTGGAACACATGAGTTATGAGGAGAGGCTGAGGGAGCTGGGATTGTTTAGTCTGCAGAAGAGAAGAATGAGGGGGGATTTGATAGCTGCTTTCAACTACCTGAGAGGTGGTTCCAGAGAGGATGGTTCTAGACTATTCTCAGTGGTAGAAGAGGACAGGACAAGGAGTAATGGTCTCAAGTTGCAGTGGGGGAGGTTTAGGTTGGATATTAGGAAAAACTTTTTCACTATGTGGGTGGTGAAACACTGGAATGCGTTCCCTAGGGAGGTGGTAGAATCTCCTTCCTTAGAAGTTTTTAAGGTCAGGCTTGACAAAGCCCTGGCTGGGATGATTTAATTGGGGATTGGTCCTGCTTTGAGCAGGGGGTTGGACTAGATGACCTCCTGAGGTCCCTTCCAACCCTGATATTCTATGATTCTATGAATAGCATCAGCTCAGATACTATTTCTGGTTTTGGATGATCTCTAGACTGGAAGTAAAGTTTTCAAAGGTGTTTATGCCCCACTTTCAAAAGTGACTTAGACCCTTGAAGCTAGTCTTATTTAAAGTGAATGAGATTTGAGCTACTTAGTCTCTGGCACTTTTGAAAATGTTACCCGTGGCCAAATAATTGCATCCTACAATGCTTGTCTAAGTCGTCCATTGGTTAAAATTTTCATCCTCTCCTAAATTATTGTTGGTGGTGCCATGCGCTGTAAAAAAAATATTGCCATGCTTCATCCAGAGCCCTCAACTCACCACGGTCCAAAAGTAGGACACAATTTGAGACATTCATTCAGGAAACATAAAATGATACTGAATTTATTCCCTTAGTATAAGTGATTTTCTCTATAGCCTCAGTATTATGATTCTGTATTTTTGATAAAAAGAACAGGAGTCCTGCCTCACTTGGGTGTTGAAGACAAATCCATTAACAATTGTGATAAGAACTATAGAAATCCCACTGGGCTCGACTCTCCACTCTGTCTGATCTCCGTTTGGACAGAGTAAATGGGGAGGAGCTGGAGGGAGTCAACTGGGGCTCCTAACTGAGAGCCAGCCAGCCCAAGAACAAGTTACCTGTAACCTGAACATATGCCAGTGGAGGATCAGATATAGAGAAGCATCACCATGATCCCCCACCTACCCATAACCTGCCTGCTGAATACTCTCACCATACTCCTCCTTCCTTTTTTGTCAGGGTTGTGGGAAAGGGGCAGCTGACATAGGTGGCAGTCGAGCTGCCCCTGCCAGATTTCTACTGAGAGAATGTCCCCCAGGACAGGAAGAATTCTACACTGGTCAGCTCTGATGGTTGAAGGACATCCCTATACCTTGATAGATACTATGTAAAATACTACATATGTATAATTCCAAAAGAAAAATAACATCAAATGGCCTGGGGCATAATCTGCTAGAGCAGCAAGTCCAATACTCAGGAAATGCAGGGATGTATCAACTGTTTCTTCTGCTTCAGTCAATGGTAAAATACAAGTGGCTGCTATGGCAACATCACATGGTGCATTTGTTATCTCTGAGTGAGAATGTAGTAAAGGAAGAAGCAGATCAGTATGCCATGTGTGCTTTCATATTTTTGGAATGTTTCTAGGGAAAACATCTGTTCAGAAGCTTTTCCAGGCTTTATGACTTTGGTAGAATTTTGGGGGATGGGAGAGGGTCTGTTGGTCTTTTTTTGCTTTTTGCATTTTTCCTCTGTAAAATTACAGATTTTTAATAGGAAAATGCGGAACATTTGTAGCCTTAGCCATGATTTTGTTACCCCTGGGGAGAAGCTATACTATTTTGGCTTCTAATATTTAATTAAATAAATAGGGGTCCAAGTAGTCATAAAATCAGTAATAATATGGGGAAACATATGGGCAGGTGGAGGAAGGGGAATGTGGCTGGGAGGTTGACTAAAGCCTTCCTGGGCTAGCTAGAAAATATAGTTTTAAAATTTGAACACAGTTTGTGTTTGCACAATGCCTCGCACAATGAGGTGCTGGCCATAACTAGGGGTCCAGGCACTGTGATGATAATAAAATAATAATAATAATAATATGTAACCTATCACTATATCAGAGAATGGAGAATCTTGAGGTTAAGGCACCTGGCTGGGGACACAGGAAACTTACATTCAAATCTTGACCAGACCGAAGAGTTCGTGTGTGACCTTGGCCAAGTTACTTAAACTTCGTGTGGCTTAGTTCCCCATATGATAACACTTCCGTGTCTGTTTTGTCTATTTAGACTAAAAGCTGTCTGGGACAGGAGTTGCCTCTTAAAAATGTGTTTGCAAAGCACTTAGCACTAGGAGGCTCAGATCTCGGCTGGGGCCACTTAGCTGCTATTATAATACAAATAATAATCAAGAAATAAATTATAGGGGGCGTAAGTGATCTTTCTCACTTTTAGACAGAGACTAGTTTCAACCCCATCCTGAGCAGGGATGAGGCAACTGATTCAGATTAAAGAGACCTTTTGGCCAGAATCAAAAGTGATACCTGTTTGAGGATCTAGAGAGTATCCATTACCTTTCTTTATTTTATCATTACCAAAAATTTTGTTTAAAAAGTTTTGTCAGTCCAGCCAAAGCTTCTGGTGAAGAATCCTAATCTGGTGAAATGTCATAGCTGATTTACAGGGCAAAGAGGTTCAGATCACAAAGCAGCTTCATTGCTCGCTAATCATACCCACTTCACCACTGTACAAAAACCTATTGTTCCTGCTAAACATCACTTTATTCACCAGATATCCTGATTTTAATGAGAGATCCCTAAATGAAGAGACACTTGTGTGTGAAATACTAGGAAAAAGTGAGGGCATGTCTACACTACAAAGTTAAGCTGACATAAGGCAGTTTACACTGGCCTAACTATGGAGGTGTACACACTGAAATGCTCCTTCCGACGTTTTAACTCGCCTACTACATCGACCTAATAAAACCGCCTGGACGAGAGGCAACGTATTTAGAGTGACACAGTGTCAGTGTAGAAACTGCGTTGTTTACGTCGCTCTGAGTGGCCTCCAGAAGGTGTCCCACAATGTCCATCAAGACCTCTCTGGTCACCATTTTGAACTCTGCTGCCCTGCAGCCAGGTACACAGGTGAATGCCCATCCCCCTTTAAAGCCCTGGGAAGTTTTGAAATTGCTCTTCCTGCATGCTCAGCATGGAGAGCAACTGCCCAGCTGACCATGCCCGTTCCACGCAGGCAACGTGCTCTTGCCTGGAGTCCATGGGAAGTGGTGGATCTCCAGGGTTGGTGTGTCGAGGAGGCTGTGAAGTCACAGCTCTGCTCCAGCTGCTAGAACTTTGATAACTACAGCAAGATTGTTCAAGACATTGTGGAGAACGGCTATGACAGAGACATATTGCAGTGCTGTGTAAAAATCAAGGAGCTGAGGCAGGCATACTAGAGGGCAAGGGAGGCAAATAGATGCTCTAGTGTGAAGCCACAGACATGCCGCTTCTCCAAGGAGTTGCACACCATCCTTGGTGGCGACCCCACCACCACTGCCAAGAGCCCTGTGAAGTCACTGGCCACTAGAATGAACCCAGGGGATGATGTGCTGGACGTGGAGGTGCTAGGAAGTGGAGGAAGAGGAGAATAGTGGGCACATGGCAGGGAGATCCGGTGGTGTGGCAAGTTGAGTCCTGAGCAGTCTTGCTAGTCCCAACAGTCCAGCTCTGGTGAGCCTGATGCAGACGAGGAAATTTCTGGCAAATACTCATAATGCTGCAATACTGCAGAGACACAACTGGTTAATCAGTCTACAAGAGGTAGTGAAATAACCAACGCAGGAACTGTTTCAATCTGCTTCTCATACACCTGTAAAGCTAGGCAGAAGGGGCCCTCTGGAAAAGTTTGTTTATGCACACTGGGATGTCCCATAAATCCTCCATAGAGATCTATAGGAAACTTTCCTGGAGGTACTCTGCAATCCTCTGCCAAAGGTTTCTTGGAAAGGTTGCGTTGTTTCGTCTCCCATGGTAGGAAACTTTGCCATGCCACTCAGCAATTACTTCAGCAGGCACCATAGCAGCACACAGTCTAGCAGCATAAAGACCCGGTCTGCAGCCACACGCATGTGGGAGCTGGACCCTTGCAGCCTCAGTTAACCTCAGGAGTGAGATATCAGCTCCAATCACCCTGGCCTGTGGAAAATGGTGCCAGTATTCTATGCACTGTGACTGATACCCCTGTTTCCTCTTGTTTTTTCCTACCCCCCCCCCCCAGATGTTCTGGTTTAACTTGGATTTAAACTTGGAGAGTGGTCAGTTTAGATGAGCTATTACCAGCAGGAGAGTGAGTTTGTGTGTGTATGGGGGTGGGGGGGATGTGAGAAAACCTGGATCTATGCAGGAAATAGCCCGACTTGATTATGTAAAGAGTTTTCACTTTGGATGGGCTAGCACCAGCAGGAGAGTGAATTTGTGTGGGGGGGTGGAGGGTGAGAAAACCTGGATTTGTGCTGGAAATGGCCCACCTGTTGATCATTTTAGATAAGCTATTACCAGCAGGACAGTGGGGTGGGAGGAGGTATTGTTTCATATTCTCTGTGTGTATATAAAGTCTGCTGAAGTTTCCACGGTATGCATCTGATGAAGTGAGCTGTAGCTCACGAAAGCTCATGCTCAAATAAATTGGTTAGTCTCTAAGGTGCCACAAGTACTCCTTTTCTTGATACCCCATGGTTACCCTCCCCTGTGTACCAACTCACCTCCTCCCCTGGCTGAGGCTACCACTATGCTGCGCAAGTGCCAAGAGAAAGATGTGCTTGTTATTTGTTTGGATCCAGGGTGTAAGTGCACTGATAATAACTCCTCTGCCTATTGTTTCTTTAGCAGATGCAGATGTGCCCTTGATGATCTCCCACACTCCCACAGATGTGCCCTTGATGATCTCCCACACTCCCACAGATGTGCCCTTGATGGTCTCCCACAGCAGCTGAGTGCCTCACTCAGATAGGGAAAAGAAATTGGAGGAGTAAATAGACATGTTCAAGGATGTGCTGCAGTCTCCTGGTGCTTGAGATTATGAGCAGAGAGCCTGGAGGGAGGCAATAGTGCGGAATTGCAGAGGGATAGTGAGGATAGGAAACTGGGGCAGGAACAGATGATAACGCTGCTTGGGGAGCAAACAGACAGGATGCGGTTCCTGATTGAACTTCAGGCTGAACACATCCATGTCCATCTCCCACTGAAGCCCATACAGAACTGCCTTCCTGCACCTCCCCCCTGATTCTTCATTTTCTCAGGAGCCTCAGCAGTACCCCAAGCACACCACCCTGAGGCAGGGGTGAAAGTAAGTTAAAGGACTTACCGGTACGCCGGAGTCCTGAGCAGGGGCCGTGGGTTCAACCGGAAGAGGCAGGGCCTTAAATCCCCGGGCCCTTTAAATCTTGATTTAAAGGGCCCAGGGCTCCAGCTGCAGTAGTGACGGCTGGGAGCCCCAGGCCTTTTAAATCACCCCCGAGCTGCCAGCTGCAGAGGCGGCTGGGAGCCCCAGGGCTCAGGGGCGATTTAAAGGGCCCCAGGCTCCAGCTGCAACTACCGAAGTGGAGCCCCGAGCCCTTTAAATCACTAAGGAGCCCTGGGGACTCCTGGCTGGCACTGCTACCCCGGGGCTCTGGCAGAGCTTTAAAGGGCCTGGGGCTCCACTGTGGTAGCGGCGGCTGGAGCCCCGGGGCCCTTTAAATACCCACCGGAGGCCCGTCGCTGCTACCCCAGGGCTTTAAATTGCCATCTGGGGAAGCCGGTCCCGGTACGGCGCACCGGCTCTTGCCGGTATGCCGTACTGGGGCGTACCAGCTTACTGTCACCTCTGCCCTGAGGGAAGTTTCACACAATGATACCTGGACACACACCCAGCTGTGTGTCCTCATTGGCAAATGTGCTTGTGAATTTCCTATTCTGTCCCCTTTAAAGATGCTTCCCCCTGTCTGTATGATGTGTAGGTTACCCATTAGTTCATGGGTGTGGAATAAAACTGAACTTTTGGAACGTGACTTAATGTTATTATTCTCCCATGTACAGTGACAACTGCTAACATTCAGAGACAGTACTCACAGGTGCATTTGCAGGGTTATAGTACACACATAGGCCTGGTCTACACTACGCTGTCCGGTCAACGTAAGGTAGCTTACGTCAACCAGTTTATGTCAGTGTACACACTACAGCCTTGTCCCACCGATGTACATGCTCTACTGCACCGACATAATAACTCCACCTCCATGAGAGATGTAGGGCTTATGCTGGTGTAATTAGGGTGATGTAATATCTGTGTAGACACTGCCCTTACTTACATTGGCTGTTGGCTGTCTTGTCAGTTTCAGGGCTCCATGCTGGAACTGTGAAATTGACAAGAAAGCTAGGCAGCTAGAGCCCAACTGCCCCCAGCTCCCCACTCGGGGACCCTGGGTGGATGTCCCCCACTCCCAGCAGGGAGAGAGGAGCTGAGAACCCGTGAGGCAGCTGAGTTTCAGCCCTGCACACTGCCCGTCTTCAATTGGTGGAAGTGATCCTGGAGAGGGCACGCACTACCAGCAGAAGGAGGGTAATGTGGACATCAGCCACCATAGTAATTAGTAGTGCTGCTCTCATTTTGGTGTCCCTGATCCAAAGGGCCCGGGCGAGCTAAGCAGGCAGTTCCAGGAAGGTGAATTTGGGCATCCAAAAGTTCTGCAGCCACTGCTCATCATCCCATAACTACATAATAATGATGCGATCCCACCACTCAGTGCTTGTTTTTCGAGCCCAGAACCAATGGCCCATCATGTGCAGCTGCTCCATGAATGTTAACAGCAATCTTGAACTGTTTCTCTCTGTGGCACACAGTAGGACAGATGCCACAGTGTCATCATCATCAGAGTTGCAGCTCATGAAATACTGCAGGATCAGGGGCGTTGTGTTCATAATGCTCATCACAATACTGGAGAGCAGTGCAGGATCCATGCTTTCTAACAGCGATGCTGGGTGGGCAATTTACAGGGACTGTTAAAAAGCAGCGCAAAACCAAGGGAAGGTCATGCCTGACTAATCTAATTGCCTTCTATGATGAGTTTACTGGTTCTGTGGATGAAGGGAAAGCAGTGGATGTATTGTTTCTTGACTTTAGCAAAGCTTTTGACAGTCTCCCACAGTATTCTTGTCAGCAAGCTAAAGAAGTATGGGCTGGATGAATGCACTATAAGTGGGTAGAAAGTTGGCTAGATTGTCGGGCTCAACGGGTAGTGATCAATGGCTCCATGTCTAGTTGGCAGCCGGTGTCAAGTGGAGTGCCCCAGGGGTCGGTCCTGGGGCCGGTTTTGTTCAATATCTTCATAAATGATCTGGAGGATGGTGTGGATTGCACTCTCAGCAAATTTGCGGATGATACTAAACTGGGAGGAGTGGTAGATACGCTGGAGGGTAGGGATAGGATACAGAGGGACCTAGACAAATTGGAGGATTGGGCCAAAAGAAATCTGATGAGGTTCAATAAGGATAAGTGCAGGGTCCTGCACTTAGGACGGAAGAACCCAATGCACAGCTACAGACTAGGGACCGAATGGCTAGGCAGCAGTTCTGCGGAAAAGGACCTAGGGGTGACAGTGGACGAGAAGCTGGATATGAGTCAGCAGTGTGCCCTTGTTGCCAAGAAGGCCAATGGCATTTTGGGATGTATAAGTAGGGGCATAGCCAGCAGATCGAGGGACGTGATCATCCCCCTCTATTCGACATTGATGAGGCCTCATCTGGAGTACTGTGTCCAGTTTTGGGCCCCACACTACAAGAAGGATGTGGATAAATTGGAGAGAGTCCAGCGAAGGGCAACAAAAATGATTAGGGGTCTGGAACACATGACTTATGAGGAGAGGCTGAGAGAACTGGGATTGTTTAGTCTGCAGAAGAGAAGAATGAGGGGGGATTTGATAGCTGCTTTCAACTACCTGAGAGGTGGTTCCAGAGAGGATGGTTCTAGACTATTCTCAGTGGTAGAAGAGGACAGGACAAGGAGTAATGGTCTCAAGTTGCAGTGGGGGAGGTTTAGGTTGGATATTAGGAAAAACTTTTTCACTATGAGGGTGGTGAAACACTGGAATGCGTTCCCTAGGGAGGTGGTAGAATCTCCTTCCTTAGAGGTTTTTAAGGTCAGGCTTGACAAAGCCCTGGCTGGGATGATTTAGTTGCGGATTGGTCCTGCTTTGAGCAGGGGGTTGGACTAGATGACCTCCTGAGGTCCTTTCCAACCCTGATATTCTATGATTCTATGATTCTAAAACATACTAGGAAGCCCATGGAATGATGGGATAGAGAAAGCTGCATCAAGGGACACTGAGCCTGCCCCCAGGAGGCATTGCAAACCTTCCCAGAACACTCTGTGGCAGATGGTGGCCAGTTGCACAGTGGGATAGCTACCCATGGTGCACTGATTTCTGTGTCGATGCAAGAGCTGCTAATGTGGATGTGCTCCACCGACACACGGTGCACAGTGTGGACATGCGCCAGTAATTTAATTATAGCGGTGGCTGTACATAAATGTTATTTAAGTTTGTAGTGTAGACATGCCCTTGAGAAATGTTTGTGAAGAGTTCCAGGATTAAAAGAAACCCAAATCTTAGTGGGGCTGTGTGTAACATAGAACAGGAGTCTTTCCAAAAGGTTCCTGACCCGATACATTTAATAAAATCAACATCAAGGGGAAATGGCACCTTTCTTAGCATGTCAGAAAACACTAATAGGATCCAATGAGGTGAAAAAAAAAGTTCAGTAAACAAAATCCTATTTATAAAGACTCAGGGTCAAATTCTTCTATTATACTAGGGTAAATTCAGAATAAACCCATTGGTTACAGTGGAGTTCTCCAAATTTATCTGAGTGTGAAGGAGAGCAGAATTTAAGTGTCATTCCTGAAATTTTCCATCACAGGAATAAAGCACTGGCAGGCCCATTCTCCTCAGTGGCAGCATTCACTCCCAGCTTATTATCACAGGGCACCAGAGCTGAATTAAAGAACCACATGAACGGTCACAAGTGGGGCCCTTCTCCTTAAATATTTGTGCTCAGGCTATTAGTTGCTAATAGAACAGAGAAGCCTGTCTCTTGAGAGATGCAAAAAGCAAGATTTTAACCAATGAAACCCCGGGGTAAACCCCGCCCTTCTCACTTTGACCTAAGCTGTCATGATGTGAGAGTAGAGTGCTGGCATGCCTGAGCATATTCCCAGAGCAATGGGCAGCGTGGTTTAGGACAGCCAGGTGCAATGCACTGCAGGCAACATTTAAAAAAAAATCGTCTAGTGCCCAAGCCTGATTCCTTTGATGTCAGTGTCAAAATTCCTGCCATGCCAGACAACGGACATATGAAGCTCCTCATTAAAGGACCAATCTGCCTTTCACTGATCCTGTGCTATCCTATTAGTCTGTGAATCATTGCAAAATCAGAATCTTGTCCTGCTAAATGCTAAAAGAGAGGTTCTCCTGCAGTGTAATTTATTTCCCTGGATTATACATCCTCTGTCAAAACGAGGGAAGAGTTCTGCAGATCTAAAATCTTTGGATTTAGAAGATGCTGTCTTATACTTTATTTTTTTAATGGGATGGCCAGTCTCAAATATTCAGAAAGCCAGCGCACATTGCAATTTCATCAGGGATGGTAAAACTGGCAGTGAGGTAGAAACTGGGACTGAACCTACACCAGGACAGAATGAACAATGGACTGTCTGGTAAACGGAAGACTGTTCCAGAAAGTCATTAGTATTCTGTCCCACAGAACTGCTGTAATAGTTCTCCTCCGTGGCATCATGTAACAAGATCTCCAGCAGCAGATGGACTCTGAGGCAGTTGAAGCTGCATGAATTTGAGGGCTCTGCAGAGATGCACATAGGTTAGATTGATGTGGGAGGAAGGGCCTAGGAAAGTGTTCTTCACAGCATCTGTACTACTAACCCTTGGAATAATACCCTATGGCGTTATGCAGGCAGTGTGCATAAATGCTAGAATTATTACCTTGCTCCCCCTCCGTACTAACCTGATGTAGCAAACCTGTAATTTAAGGCTGAGAGTCTACCTAATGTTTCTTGGAGAAGGACAAATGTTGTATTAGAAGGCTGAAAAATTAGTACTTAATATGGTAGCAATAGTGTTTCTATTTATACTCTGTTAGTATAATTATAATGATTGTTTAATTCAGACAATGATAGTATACTAGGCACTTTACTAATATAGAAGAAGGCAAAATCCCCACCCTGAAGAGCTCACAGTCTAAAGTAAAACAAAGGTCGTTCCTTCCCAAGAGATCCTAGCGTAATAATTTTCCTTAGAGTTCCCTCATCACTGGTTTGGTAAGGCAGCTAGGCTTCTTGCTGCTACTTAGATAGAAGCTTTTCTTCTGTTTTTGTATAGCACCTAGCGTAATGGACTCCTGGCCTATGACTGGGGCTCCTGGGAACTACAGGAATATAATTAATAACATCCAGGTGTTCTGAGTCCCACTCTAGTGTTCTGTCCACTAGGCCACAGTGCCTCCCTGCAATTACTGTATTAATATCAGAGATGGACTCAAGACAACTCCAGATCCAAATCACCCTAGTCACAGGCTAAGTTCAGATGTAGCTCCAATCTTCCTATTGCCTTCTTCATTTCAAAAATGGGCCACACCAAAACCATACACCTGTAAACTTTGCAAAGTTTGGGTTTGGATATATTTGTGAAGCATTGCAGCTGGAATCCATCCCTATCTTAAGGACTCACTTACTTACAAAGTTCATTTACATTTTACACCCCCATCGAATTTCCTGTTTGTCACAAAACCCCCTTGTCACAAAAGCCCCAATGACATTTGCTAGAGCTTTTGACTGGTGTGAAAAGCTTGCAATACCTACCAGATTACATCTAATCAGCATTTCTTTATTTAAACATATTAGTTAGTTGGCTGGTGGGCCAATCCTCTGGCTATTGTGATAATTGTAAGACTCCCAAGCAGCCTTCCCCTCACCCCTCATCTGACAGAGCAATGCAGTTAGAAA